CCCAGCCCCAATCCTGGTGCAGCTCTGGGGTGGCAGCTGCTTCTGGAGCTCTCGGCCCACAGACTAAGGGGGAATCGAGTGGCCTATCAGAGGGGGATTGTGGGGATCTTTTTGCTGGTGCTGAGGTAGGATTCTCTTGCTTTGCTCATGATTGGATCTGGCTCACAGTTCTGGGTGGCGGTCCTGGGGCAAGAAGGAGAGCTGGCATGGTGGAGCTTGTGGCAGAGGTGGAGAGGGAATCCTCCTCACAGTTCCAAGGCAGAAAAGAGTGCTTGTGGTTGCTCATAGACCAGAGTATAGGCCAGGAAAGGAGTAAACACCTTGCCCTTGATCATAACACCTTGGAAGAACTGAAAATTTAAGGTCCCTAGAAATATCTCTGAAAACAGCTGCACAAAACCCCTGAAGCTTGAAACAGTACATTCTCCACACTGGAAGCAGAACCCTACCTTAACAAAGAGGTTAAAACTCAAGTAATTGACTGGGAATATGAGAAAACTGCACAAAAAAGTCAGACCATAGAATCTTTCTTTGGTGACAAAGAAGATCAAAATATACAACCAGAAGAAGGCAACCAAGTCAAAGCTCCTATATCCAAAGCCTCTAAGAAAAACATGAATCAGTTCCAAGCCATAGAAGAGCTCAAAAAGGATTTTGAGAATTAAGTAAGAGAAGTAGAGGAAAAACTGGGATGAGAAATGAGAGTGATGCAAGAAAATCATGAAAAACAAGTCAGCAGCTTGCTAAAAGAGACTCCAAAAAATATTGAAGAAAATAACACCTTAAAAAATAACCTAACCCAAATGGTGAAAGAGCTCCAAAAAGCCAATAAGGAGAAGAATTCCTTAAAAAGCAGAATTGGTCAGATGGAAAAGGAAGTCCAAAAGCTCACTGGAGAAAATACTTCCTTAAAAATTAGAATGGAGCAAATGGAAACTAGTGACTTTATGAGAAATCAAGATGTAAAACAAAACCAAAAGAATGAAAAAATAGAAGACAATGTCTCATTGGATAAAAACTGACTTGGAAAATAGATTCAGGAGAGATAATTTAAAAAATTATTGGACTATCTGAAAGCCAGGATCAAAAAAAAGAGCCTAGACATCATCTTTCAAGAAATTATCAAAGAAAACTGCCCTGATATTCTAGAACCAGAAGGTAAAATAGAAATGGAAAAAATCCACCAATCACCTCCTGAAAGAGATCCCCAAAGGAAAACTACTAGGAATCTTGTAGTCAAATTCCAGGGTTTCCAGGTCAAGGAGAAAATATTGCAAGCAGCCAGAAAAAAACAATTCAAGTGTTGTGGAAACACAATCAGGATAACACAAGATTTAGCAGCTTCTACATTAAGGAACTGGAGGGCTTGGAATATAATATTCCAAAGGTCAAAGGAGGTAGGATTACAGCCAAGAATCACCTACCCAGCAAAATTGAGTATAATCCTTCAGGGATAAAAATGGACATTCAGTGAAATAGAGGACTTTCAAGCATTCTTGATGAAAAGACCAGAACTGAATAGAAAATTTGACTTTCAAATACAAGACTCAAGAGAAGTATGAAGAGGTAAACAGGAAAGAGAAATCATAAAGGACTTATTAAGGTTGAACTGATTTACATTCCTACATGGAAAGATGATATTTGTAACCCATGAGACCTTTGTCAGTATTGGGGTAGTTGGAGGGAAAAAAGTATATGGATAGATAGATAGATAGATAGATAGATAGATAGATAGATAGATAGATAGATAGACAGACAGACAGACAGACAGGTAAAAAGAGGGCACAGGGTGAGTTGAAGATGTGATATCTGGAGTGATATCTGGAGAATAAAATTAAGGGGTCAGAAAGAATTCTACTGGGAGAAGGAGAAAGGGAGAGGTAGAATGGGGTAAATTATCTCACATAAAACAGACAAGAAAAGACTTTTACAGTGGAGGGGAAGTGAGGAAAGGTGAGAGGAAATGAGTGAATCTTATTCTCATCAGATTTGGCTTAAGGAGGGAATACCATACACACTCAATTGGGTATGGAAAGCTATCTTACCCTATGGGAAAATAAGGGGAAAAGGGATAAGAGAGTGGAGGGATGATATAGGGGAGGGCAGATTGGGGGAGGGGGTAATCAGAAGCAAACACTTCTGAGGAGAGACAGGGTCAAAAAAGAGAATAGAATAAATGGGGGGGGATAGGATGAAGGGAAATATAATTAGTTTTCCACAGCATGACTACTATGGCAGTGTTTTGCATGACTACACAAGTGTAACCTGTATCAAGTTGCTTGCCTTCTCAATAAGGGTGGGTGGGGAGGGAGGAAGGGAGAAAATTTGAGACCCAAAGTTTTAAAAACAAATGTTAAAAAATTGTTTTCACATGCAACTGGGAAATAAGATATACAGGCAATGGGGTATAGAAATCTATCGTGCCCCACAGGAAAATAGAAGAGGAAGGGGATAAGAGAAGGGGGGGCAGAGATAGAAGGGAGGGCAGATTAGGGGAAAGGGTATTCAGAATACAAACTGTCTTGTGGTGGGGGGAGGGACGAGATGGGGAGAAAATTTGGAACTCAAAATCTTATGGAAGTGAATATTAAAAACTAAACAATAAATTATAAGTAAAATAAATAAATGGTTGAGGTTGAGAGAAAACTTTAAAAAATATGTAAAATTTTAAAATGTTTTTATTTTATTTTTTTCTGAATTACATGCAAAACAGTTTTAACATTTGGTTTTTAAAAATAATTTTAGAGTTCCAAATTACTTCCCTCCTTCCCTCCCCTCCTCCCTCCTTGAGAAGGCAAGTACTTTGATCTAGATTATACATGTGCAGTCATGTAGAACAGTTTCATATTTGCCATGTTGCAAAAGAGAACAAAGACCAAAAAGAAAGGGAGAAAGGAAGGGAGAGAGAGAGAGAGAGAGAGAGAGAGAGAGAGAGAGAGAAAGGAAGGAAGGAAGGAAGGAAGGAAGGAAGGAAGGAAGGAAGGAAGGAAGGAAGGAAGGAAGGAAGGAAGGAAGGAAGGGAAAGTAAAAAAAAGAAGTATGCTTTGATCTATATTCAGACTCCATCAGTTCTTTCTCTGGAGATGGATAGCATTTTTCATCATAAGTCCTTTGGAATTGTCCTGAATCTCTTCTCTAATGGACCTGGCATTATGCCTAGTTGTGGTTTGTCGTTCATTATCTTGCCCCTCACCTCTATCTTACATGCATAAGTAGACTGTAGTATGTCTTAGGAAGTTACTAAGGGCTTGAACTCAGGGAATGTCTGTTCTGCTGAGGAAATTGAGTGTGCGTGTGTGTGTGCACACCTATATGTGTGTGTCTTTAGACACAGAATATATATGTATATGTATATGTATATATATATATATAAAACATGTATATGTGTGCATTTGTATACACGCATATAGATAGCGAGATTGAGAGAAAGTAGAGGAAAGAGAAAGAAAATGAGAGAGAGGATGGAAGGAAGAAAGAGAGAGAGAGAGAGAGAGAGAAAGGAAGAGGGAAGAACAAGAGACAAGGCTAAAGACAGATCAAGTGAAATGCAAGTTGAATGTGATTAATTAATAGTAAACAGAAATAGGAATTTCAAAATATGAGGTGGAAAGGTAATAAACCTTTTTTCAAAATAAAATATCTTTATAATATTGATTTTCATCTTTGGTATTCACCATCTAGATATTCACTTCCCACAATTTTGTTTGTTTGTTTTGGTCTGATTATCAACTTCATGTTTCTTCCCAAACTGGGCATGTATCAAATTTAAGTATGACTTTAAAGGTGCTATTTTCAGTGTATACCAATATATTTTTTTCTTTCAAAGAAATCTCATTCAGTGTTGGCCTAATTTCACTATTTAACTCTCCCTGTCCCCTGAAATTACATTGTGTTTGTTTTGTATGTACTTGTATATACATCATTACCCTTCACCCCAGCAGAACATTAGCTCCTTGACATCAGTGACTATTTCATTTTGTCTTTGTACATTCAGGATTGTAGCAAGTGCCTGGCACATTATGGGCATTTAACTTGTTTGTTAATTGAAGCTCACTATGTTAGACCTCTTAGGTGGCTTGGTGGAGAGTGTGCTAGATTTGGAATAAGAAAGTCCTGAGTCCAAATCCTAACTCAGACGCTTGATAACTGTGTGACCTTGTGTAAGACAGAGAACTTTTTTCAGCTTCAATTTCCTCATTTATAAAATGGAGATAATAATAGCACGCAACTCAGAAGGTTGTTGTGAGGCTCAAATAAGATAATATGTGTAAAATACTTTGTAAACCTTAAAGTGCTAAATGTTAATATTAGTTATTATTATTACAATTGAACATCGAGGTGGTGCGTGGATAATGGGCCAGACCTGAAGTCAGGAAGATTCACCTTCCTGGGGGCAGCTAGGTGGTGCAGTGGATAGAGCACCAGCCCTGAAGTCAGGAGAACCTGAGTTCAAATCCGGCCTCAGACCAAACACTTGACATATACTAGCTGTGTGACCTTAGGCAAGTCACTTAACCCCATTGCCTCACTAAAAAAAAAAAAGAAGAAAAGAAAAAAATAAAAGAAGATTCACCTTCCTGAGTTCAAATCTAACCTCAGACACTTACTAGTTGTGTGACCCTGTGCAAATCACTTAACCCTTTTGGCCTCAGTTTCCTTATCTGTAAAATGGAGAAGGAAATGGCAAACCACTGCAGCATCTTTACCAAGAAAACCCCAAAAGGGGTCACAAAGAGTCACACATGACTGAAACAACTGCACAGTAATTATTATAGTTAATAGCCATTGTTGTTGTTATAGATTTGAGGTCTCTTTTTATTCAGATCAAGATGGTGTTAGATTAAAAAGTTATGTAATGGAAATTGCAGTAGTTGAACACTGTATAGTAGTTTAGGCAAAGAAGTAGAGAATATCCTTTCCTATCATCTTCGAGGGATCAGAATGGTAGAGGGCTGCTGTCATAGCTTTGTGGCTCACACTCTTTCTTGCCTTCCCCACAGAAAGAGACATACCCTTTCGGAGAACTCTCCAACCACCCATCATTGCTTCTATAGTGATAAGCATCTGCTTTTTCTTCATAGCCTTGATTCTGTATCTGAAACGATACCACTGCCAGTGTAAGTACCATCTGATTCATGATACTTTTACTGTGGAGACTGTAGCTTTCCCCTTTTGATAACTAAAAAAGCTCTTATGCTCACTTTCTAATATTTAACTCCCATCTAAGACCTTGGGAACTGTTGGTTTTTTAGAAAACATTTCTGATACCAACTAAAATTCCAACCCCAGATTTGGGAGGGGCAAATATTAGAGTATAGAGTCTGGGAGAATGGATCTCTTATTTAATGTAAATTAAGGAAAAGGTAGCATGGTGCAGTAGTGGATAGAGGGCTATGTGACCCCAGACAAATCATTTAACCTCCAGTTATAAAAAAGTGAGTTTCCTACGTTGATGAAATCACAGTCCCAGACCCTCCACCTTCACTCCTGCAAATGCTATAGAGGTTGAGGAAAAGATAAGACTATTGAGAATTTTTATTATTTTCGTTCCTTGGAAATGGACCTCTAAATAAGAGATTAGTGATGGTGAAGAAAAGCAGGGAAATTTATGATGTTATTTTTTGTAAATCAAAATGTAGATTTTGTGTAACCCAGGCCTTTCATTATGACTCCCTGAAATGTAGACCAAGATTCAAGGTACTCTTTGGGTACACATATATCCAAACCATGACTCATAGCCTTCCACCCAATGTTTCCCTTTCATCAGACTAACCCAGAGGACATAATTATTCAAAGTAAAGGCATTTGGCTGAGCCAGACTAATAAGGAAATAACAAGGAAAATACCTCCTTCTCTTCTCCTCCTCCTTCCCCACATATATATTGAGGCATACTCTTCCACAGAGTCATGCTGCTAGTGGAAAAATGAAGACTTGAAGCCTGGACAGCTCTTATTTCCAGTGTTGTGTCCAATCGCTGCCTTGGAAGCTGCCATTGATTTCTTCCTTGAAGAACTTCTGCTGTCATCTGCTGGCTTCTTGCTAAGCTGTCATTTCCTGCACTGCAGTCTTCTGTTTCTCCCTGGTTTGGCAACTCTCTGATGAGTTGCCCCTGCCATCTACTGCTTCTCTGTTTAATTGAAGCTGCCAGGAGGCTTCCCCCTCCATGGGGAATGTTTTTGGCTCTTTGGGGAGCCAGTCCATAGCCTTGGGACTCCTCAACTCTTTTGTGAATTAAAGTCCCTCATCTCTCATCTCTCTTTTTCTCTACTCCACCTAACCCATAGTGAGAACTCTCCAAGGTCCACTTGACTTTTGGACTGATGTGAATAAATTTAGCTTCCATTGTGCCCAAGGCCATTACAGTGGAGCTTTTCTTAGTAACACTAGAGGTTGGAAATGAAGACCTTTGTCCTTCATTCCTGCTGCTAAACCCTTTACATTCTGCTCTCTTTTACATTTAGAAAACTGATCTAGACCATAGACTAACACTGGACTCTTTGCCACCCTTATCCCTTATCCCTTATCTCTTAAGCCCTTCCAAGTAGAAAATAGATGCATTTCTTGGACAAAGTTGAAAGCCTGATTATCTGAGGTTATCATGAAGACTTCTAGGGATAGTAATGAAGTGACAGCAAGCAAAGGAAATTTGAAGATGGAGTTATTTGTTATTTCTTGACCATAAAAGCAAATAATCAATAGCCAAGTCCCCAAAGAGGGGACCATGAAGAACTTTTAGAAATAGCACTAGACTGAGAGTCAGAAGACTCATGTTCTTATATCTGTATAAATTTAGGCAAGTCATTTCTCCCATTTGAAGCTTACTCTCCAAGTGTGTAAAATGAGAAGGTTGAACTAGGTCACCTCCAAAGTCTCTTCCAGCTCTGACATTCTATAGTTCTATGAGAAAGGCTCATTGGAGAATATCTACTGGGAAGAATCCACCTTACAGGCCAAATAAGGAGAGACTAGGTGGCTTTCCAAGTTCTAATGTCTGAAAGAAGGCAACATGGTATGGAAAGATGACTGGATTTCATGAGTACACCTTGGAGTAAAATCCCAGCTTTTCGATTTGCTACTTGTGTGACTTTGGGCATGTCATTTCCCGTCAATATTCTTGTCTGAAAAATGAGAGGATTAGTCTAAAATCTTGTCACTAGATAAACTTTAGACTCTCTTCCAACTCCAAATCTATGCCTTTATGAAGGCTAAAAAAGTACACAGCCAAAATATAACTGAAATACATGTGTAATTTTTCTTTTAGTCTGTAAACAACCAGAGGTTGACCTCTACTCTGTCCCCCAAGGACTCACTGTGGCAGCCACAGAGGAAGAGGCAAATGACTTGGTGTTCCCACTAGCCCAGGTTGAACGGGCTGCAACAACTGGCAAGGCAGCCAGTGTGTGAAGGTAACCTAACAACCTCTCCTATCCCCCTACCTTATCACCTGGAGTCATCTGAGACAAGAGACTTAAGATCATACATTGCTTTCCATTTGCTTTCAGGATGAAATTTGAACTTGTCATGTTTGAAGGCCCTTTATCATCTAGCACACCTTTGTTTTAATCACCTTACTTTAGTCTCTTACTATTTCCCACCACCTCCAAAGAACAAAACTTCCTCATTTCTACTCTGTGCTTTTTCATCTAAAATCAGCCATTTCCAAAAAGCCTTTCTCCTTCCTCTTTGGCAATCTGTATCCCTTTCCTCCTCTTAAACCTTATTCCAAACTTGTCTTCAAAAAGCTTTCTTTGGGGCAGCTGGGTGGTGCAGTGAATAGAGCACCAGCCCTGGAGTCAGAAGGACCTGAGTTCAAATTCAGACACTTGACACTATCTATGTGACCCTGGGCAAGTCACTTCACCCTGATTGCCTCACCAGAAAAAAAAAAAGCCTTCCTTGACCAACTTAAATTAACTCCAACTATTCCTTTTCTTTTTATTTTAAATGTTTTATTGACTTTTCTTTTTTTAAACCAATGTCATTGCTCCATGACTCCTCCTTCTCCACCAGTAGAATCCTCTTATAACAAATAAATAGTCAAAAGAAACAAGTCACCACATTGTTCATGTCTGAAAATGTATGCCTCATCTGGCACCTGTGGCCTACCCTCTGACAAAAGGCGGAAGGCATGCTTCACCACGAGGTCCTCTGAAGTCATGATTGGACACTGCATGATTAGAGTCATGAAGTTGTTTTTTGTTAATGTGATTTGCTTTACATTATTGTGATCCTTGTACAAATTGTTCTCTTGCTTCTCCTTTCTTCACTCTTCCCAAGTTTCTTTGAATTCTTCATATTTGTCATTTCTTATAGAGTAGTAATGTTCTGTTACATTATTATTTAATATAAAACTATCAAGCTGTAAGATTGTTATCTATGATTTAAATTAATAATTATTTAATTTATAAAATTTTATTTATTAAATTAAATTTATTAAATCATTCCTCAATTGATACTCACTTTCCTATTAAAAATTAGAGATAGAGATTAGAGAGACTTGTGATTTCATAGACACAGGGAACTCCTGAATAAAGAAATTCACTTTACCAATGGAGGTCAGCATTCTCTCTACAATTCATAGTCTCAGAGTTGTTTAAAACACTCAGAATTAAGAAGGGTTTTCCCAGAGTTTCATAGCCAATGGGAGAGCCACAGGCAGGACTGGAACCAGGTCTTCCTAGCTCTGAGACCTGCTCTCTAGCCACTGAAACATATTACCTATTATTTAAGCAGCTGCTACTGATATTTTTGTGTAGCACCTTTAGCACCTCACTCTCACATATGGGGCTCTCAGAATAGCAATCCTAGGTTCAAGGTTCTCTGTGGATCCATATCCACTCAAAATGATAGTTGATATATCCCTACCAGTGGAATTACGTTATCTACAGTAACCCAGAGGACATAGGAATTTTTTTTAAAGCATTAAATGAAGTATCATTGTAGGAATATTTTCAATGGAGCAGTCCCCTCATAAAAATAGACTATGTTCTCTCACAAATGTACACACCATTAGTGGGGAAAGTGAGTGTGCATAGGGATCTAGTATGACAGTATATGAGAGAAAATGATGGGTCCACACCAGGTAACAACATGTGGGGGGGTTGGGGGAGACTCATACTTCCAAAATGGCAGGATATCATCTGGCTATGCTCTCATGCTGCTTTCAGTAGGCTTGTGTTTCTACTGAATACATTGTTCTGCTTGGCCTGCTCCCTTTCGGGCATGATGACATCTCCTTTGGGCATGCTCCTCACTAGGCATGAGACTTCTATTTTGCTGAGGCCTTCAGGAAGGTAGGATATAGTGGAAGGATATATTGACTAGAACCTATGCTAATAAGAGTAGGAAGGCTCTTCAGTCATAGTCATCAAACCCAAATAACAAAAGCCAGGCTGAGGGCCCCTAAGACAAGATTAAGTCTATCCTTTTCAACCCCTATGTCTGAATCAGAGATCAAAGCTTTCAGTTGTAGATAACAACCTTACTTATGGTTAAATAGTCTTACATATTTCCAAGATTTTCTCTGGTTTAGTTGAAAATGAATTTGAGCTAGAAAATGGTAACAGTATCCTCCACTTACATAACCCACATTCCTGTCTTTAGTTTGTCTTTTATATTTGTCAAGAGGAAAGCCTAATTGTTTGAGTGCTGTATTTTTGGCCAGCAAAAAGCCTCACTCTCTCTACATTAGTTATACATATGAGACTTTCCCTTCTGTTTTTCACCTCCTTCGATTATATGCCTAGTAGAGGTATTTCTGGGTTAAATCATAGGTACAATTTAGTGACTTTTTAGTACAACTCCAAATTGTTTCCAAGGATGATTGGACCACTTCCCAGTTCTATCAATAGTACATTAGCTTGCCTATCTTCCTACAGGTCCTCTCATGTTTATAGTTTTCACCTCTAATCATCTTTGGTAAGCTGAAGGGCATAAAGTGATACTTCAGAGTGGTTTTAATGTAGATCTCTCTTATTATTAGTGATTTGGAGCATTCTGTCATTTATGGTATTTCTTCTTCTGAAAATTGACTGTTCACATCCTTTGAACACTTATCTGTTGGGGAAAAGTTCTTATTCTTATATATTTATACCCATTCCCTATATCCATTGGATATCAGGGATACTTTTATCTGAAATATTTGATGCGAAATTTTCCCCTATTAATTGCTTTTCCTATAAGTCTAGCTGCTTTGATTTTGTTCATACAAACACTTTTCTTTTTTTGGTGAAGCAATTGGGGTTAAGTGACTTGCCCAGTGTCACACAGGTAGTGAGTGTTATGTGTCTGAAGCTAGATTTGAACTCAGGTCCTCCTGACTCCAAGGCCAGAGCTTTATCCACTGCACCACCTAGCTGCCCCCATACAAATACTTTTCAATCTGATATAATAAAAAGTGTCCATTTTATCTTTTACCTCTATATCTTGTTTTGTCACAATTTTTCACTTTAGCCATTGTTATGTAAACTATTTTCTTTCATTCCCTTACAATTCTTTTAAAAGATGAAGTTTATTGTGATATATACTATAGGATATTAGTCTAAACCTAATTATTATCAAATTGCTTTTCAGTATTCTCAGTGATTTTTGCCAAATAGTTAATTCTTGCATGAGTAGTGTCATCTTTGGACTAATGTAATAACAACTGACTATGTTCTGTTACTTCTGGATTTTGCTTACCCAATTGCATTATTAACTTTTCTATTTTTAACCAATATTGACTCATTTTGATGATGCTTTATAGTATAGTTTGAGATTTAGTAATCATATGTCCCTTTTTCCTATTTTTTCCCCCATGATATCTGTTGAAATAATGGGGGCAGCTAGGTAGCACAGTGGATAGAACACCAGCCCTGAAGTCAGGAAGATTTGAGTTCAAATACAGTTTCAGACACATAACATTCACTAGCTGTGTAACTCTGGTCAAGTCACTTAATCCCATGCAACTTTGGGCAAGTCATTTAAGCCCAACTGCCTCAACAACAACAAAAAAAAGAATGAAATTTTGTCCCTTCATGTGACTTTTGTTATTATCTCATTTACTTCTATTAAGTAATTTTTGGTAGTTTGGTTAATATGGCACTCAACCTATAAATTGATTTAGATAACATTTTTATTATATTGGTGCGGTTCAACCATGGACAATAAATATCTTTCTGATTATTTATATTCTTCTACTTCTATAAAGAGTGTTTTGTAGTTGTATTCAAGGGTGGGAGTCTTTGTAGGTTGACTTCCAGATACGTTATGCATTTTGTAATTATTTGAATGCAATTCTTTTTTCCATTTCTTCTTACTAAGTTTTATTGTATTATTATAATATAATATTCTATATTATATTTATATTATGTGTAGAAAAGCTGTTGATTTTTGTGAGTTTGTTTTATATTCTGCTACTTTCATAAGATTTTAGATCTAGAGTGGGAAGGAACCTGAGAAACCATCCAGTCCAATCCCTTCATTTTACAGATGAGGAGACTAAGACCCAAGATTACATAGAGAGTAAACATTGGACACAGTTCCTCTGACTGTTCCTCTGACTCCAGGGCTAGTGCTCTTTCCACTAACTGAAGTTACTAATTATTTTAATTATTCTTTCCACTGATTTTCTAGGATTCTCTAAATAGACCATCATATGAACCATAAATACCTACTCTGAGTCAAGCACCATGCTAGTATTAAGGAAACAAAGACAAAAAAAGAAAGGATCCATAGTCTCGAGGAGCTTACATTGTATGGGGGAGACAACATGTGCATATACAAGTATATACAAAATAAATATGTAAAGTACTACCTCTGCTGTATATGGACAGTTTATTTGCTGAAAGAGGCAAAACAAAAGGACAATTGTGTGAGAAAAGCAGCTTGGAACAGTTCCTAGGACTTCAGAGGAAACAATCCCTTAGAAAAATGTACGAAGAGGACCTGTTTTGAAAGAAGTTCAAAGTCAAGAGCAGTGATTGATGTAAAGCTGACTTCAGCACATGGCTGTCTGCAGTTCATTTACATGTGCCTATTTTCAGGGTTTTGAAGGATATAGCTAAAAATCTAAACATCAGAAAATAGCTTGGGAGACCATGATTTGCTAGTGTAGTTACTGTCTGATAGAACTGTGAACACTGGGTTTCTCAACTATGATTATAGATGGGTCTCTCTCTACCCATGAAAAGTCCCTGATTCAAGACATTGGAAGCCAGAGTGGAGAAGAGAAACAGGGATCTGAAGAAAAACTGAAACCTGAAGAAAGAAGATGATGACAGAGACAAAAGCAGAGTAAGGACTGCCATCCAACTTTTCCCCTAAAGGAAGGAAGGAAGGAAGAAAGGAAGAAAGAGAGAAAGAAAGGAAGAAAGAAAAAGAAAGAAAGAGAAAAAAGAAAGAAAGAAGCAAAATAGAGGAGAATCTAAAGAGAAGAGCATCAGTTTTGGGATGAGTCAGCCGAGAAAACTGGCTGAATTAGTCAAGAAGGCTTTGTAATTGACACAGGGAGCTCATTGGAGTAGAACTCTATAACCGATAGAAGCTAGTTGGAGAAAGCAAAATTTTCTTGCTATATGAAGAAGCTGGCTGAGGTTGTATGCAATGCTCTTTTGCACCATCTAGAGTTTGAGAGCTGATTTAGCACAGGCGAGCCCTGCATGTGAACTAGGAATTGTTTTGGAGAACGGCTCTCTGGCTGCTGAGAGTTCACCGGAGAAAGCCCAATCCGGCAGGCTGGACTTGTCTGAATTGCTCTTTAGCGCTTGAGAGAGCTTCAGGGGGTTGAATGCATTGCTCTCTGTTGCCCTCTATGGTTTGAAAGGGAGAAACTCGTGAGAATCGAGAGAGCCCCAGATCTGAATTTTGCAGATCCCTAGCTTGAGAGAACAAAATTCTTGTCACTGAATTAACTTAAGACTGCTTCAGTGCACAGACAAAGGAGCTGGCCCTTGGCATAGGGCTGCTGTTTCAATTAAAGAATATAATGCTGCTGCTTCACTAAGAGTTTCAGTGGCCCAAGAGAATCTTAGGATGAGAAGTTGATTCACAATATAGACAGCTCCCTACATGAGACCACCGATATCCAGGACTGCAAACCGGAGTCGTGAATTGCCCTAGACATGTGGGTTTCCCCACTCATATGCCTCACTTTTAGGTTTCTGTAAGTGTGTGCCTAGTCTCCCTCATGGACACTGTGTGCATTGGTGGGAGAATGTGACTCAGGTTGATGAGTTGACTCATATTTTGATTATTCCTGCTTTTGCTTTCTATTGAGCAAATGTTATGATTACACTTGGTTTTGCCTTCTCTTTTAGTAAATGTTTCATATTCAAGAGTCAAAGGTGTCATTGTGATTGATTTGTGCATATGAGAAGCACCGGGATGAACAGTGAGGCACTACAGTGGCAACAAGTAGAAGGGGCTCCTGCCTACATTAGGGTTACCCCTCCCACCCTGAGAATGATTTGGAGTTACATGGCCCCTCTGGAAAATCACCCCAATGTGGTGAAGAGGGGACTGATGGCATAAATGAGCCAGCACCAGCCCAGGGAGAGAACCTGGAGAGAGCTTAGGTAGGATTAGCAGTCATGTTACTATGGTAAGGACATCTGTAGCCTCAGCTCAGGCTATATAGCTTAGCAGAGATCACAGCCCAGCTGAGTTCTAAGTTCCCTCCTTTTATTTTTGTTGTTTTTTGAAATTTGTTTTTTTTCTAACAAACATTTGTTTTCTCTCTTTCCTATCCCACAATTTAAAAAAATAAGTCCTTGTAACAAATACGCATAGTCAAGCAAAATAAATTACTATTTTGGCCAAAAATGTATGTTTCCTTCAGCATCTTGAGTACATCACCTGTTAGGTAATCTGCTTTATCATCAGTCCCTCAGAATTCTGGGTGGACATGTACTGTGTGACCCTGGGCAAGTCACTTAACCCCAATTGCCTAAAAAAAAAAAGTTGTTGGTCTTTGCAATATTATTATTATTGTATAAATTGCTCTCCTGGTTCTGCTCACTTTGATGTATCAGTTTATACAAGTCTTTCTAGGGTTCTCCAAACCCATCCCTTTATTATTTCTTACAGAACAATAATATCCTATTACATTCACATGCCATAACTTGTTTCATCATTCACCAATTTATAGACACCCTCTTTGTTTCCAATTCTTCACCACTTCAGCTAAGAGAACTGCTATAAATATTTTTTCATATTTTTTTCCTCTTTTTGTGCAAAGGGAAGTTTACATGGCAAAAGTTACTTTTCCAGGATCCTTAACAAGTTCAAAATAAGGACAGCTATTGTTATCTAAATAGCAGAAGTAATGTCTGGAGGAGTCACCACGGCTCAGTGCTGCTGATTCTGGGAGCAGCAGTGTGGTTAATGATACAGTTGATAGTGTCATCTTCAAATATAACATTAACAGTAACTTACAGTATGACAACAGCTTTGTATTTTCAAAATACTTCCGTGCATTTTGTCAGGTTTGATCATCACAAGATTTTCAGTGATGTAGGTAGCATGATGTCAAGCACACTATAGTTGATATCAAGCCACATCTGCCTAAAACACTTATTAACTTTATGCCTATGAGCATTTCTCTTAGCCTGTATTTTTTCATTTGTAAAATAAGGATAATACCTGTGATGATCAAATGGGATGACACATTTAAAACACCTTATAAACTTTAAAGCTCTATGTAAATGTAAACTAATTTTAATTTATATTTTTTGTTTTTGGCATGGCACACATTCAGCAAACCATCTCATGTTAAAAGAAAAATAAAACAGTTCAACAAAAGTAACTATAGCATTGGAAACTTCCTAATGATGCCACAGACCCTCTATAAAGCCTTTCTAGACTGATAATTCATTCAATTGGGAACTTTTCCCCTTAACTCTTATAGTAGAGTTTGCCTACTCTTATATATTACTTTGTACTGTTAGTGTTTACCAGTATATGTCTAGTTTTCCCAATTTGACTATTAGTTCCCTAAACTAACATTAGCAAAAGTTAATGGCCTACATGCTTGTGATCCCCCATAGCACTTGGCACAGTAAAATAAAATTTTATTAATGGCTTATTTTTATGTCACCTATGTTTCCCAATGTATCACTCTAACCCCACCCTCCCAGAGAACCATCCCTTATAAGAATGAGGGAGGAAAATGATTCAGCAAAACTAACCAACACATTGAAAAAGTCTTACATTATATGCAGCATCTCCCAGCTCTGCAAAGAAATAGAGGCTAGCACAGTGTCTTAAATATAGTAGGTGTTTGCTTAATATATATTTGATTGACTAAACAATAGAAGTTTTAAGTGAACTGTTATACTAGATCCAAGATGCAGAGAAGTAGTGAACAATAGCTGCTGAATGAGGCATTTACTTGCCAATATGGCCAACCTGTTAATTTGCTTCACTTGACCATATTTATTTGTTATAAGGGATGGTTCTATTGAAGGATAGAGTAACTGGGAAATGATAGTGATATAAAAAAAAATTAAGACATTTTTAAAAGGAGAATTTTTTTTTGGAATTTTCAATTCCATATTCTCTCCTTCACTCCATTTCCTCCCCCATTTATTAAGAAGGCAAGAAATATGATTTTTTTTTTGACAATTGGGGTCAAGGGACTTGCCCAAGGTCACACAGCTAGTAAGCTAGTAAGTGTCAAGTGTTTGGTCTGAGGCTGGATTTGAACTCAGGTCCTCCTGACTTCAGGGTCAGTGCTCTATCCACTGTACCGCCTAGCTACCCCCAAGAAATATGATTTTATATATGTGTGTGTATGTACGTATAGTCATGCCAAACATTAAGCATGTGAAAAAAAAAAGCAAGAAAAAAATACACTTCAATTTGCACACAAAATTCATCAGTTCTGTCTCTAGAGGTGGACAGCATTTTGTTTTAATCATGAGCCCTTCGGAATTATTGTGGATCATTGTATTGATCAGAGTTGCTAAGTCTTTCACAGTTGATTATCATTACAACATTGCTGTAACCATGTACAATATTCTAGTTCTATTTACTTCACTTTGCATGAACTTCACAGTTCATATAAGTCTTCCCAGGTTTTTTCTGAAACCACCTAAAAAGGGTAAATTAAAAAAAAATTAGCATTTTGAGTTCTCATTTTTCTTTGTCTTCTCAGGTCCCACCTGGCTTGTCTTCAGAATGTCTTGATGTCCCTCCAGACTGTCCTTGCCCCTGCCCTGGGTTTATTTATTCTCTAATTCTTGGATGCCTCTCCACCTCCTCTCAGTGACTTCTCCGCGGGAAGGAAATAGAAGAGGACAGAAGCAGAAGAATTTCTGATAACTTTAACCAGCTGCATTTATTCTGGAATTTGTCAGAGTTAGAAAGAACCTGGGACATCGTCTCTTATTTCACCTAGGGGACCTAGGAGAACCAGAGGGTCTGAACAAGTTAGTTCAAGGTCATTAAGAGACACATAGAACCAAGGGTTTCTGGCTGCCGCCCACAGCTCCTTCCACTACAGCACGCTATCTCTCTGTCAGGGAAGTGAATTTCATTTGATCTGGTTTCTGAATTAAGCCCTGGGGAGATGCGTATATCGCTGCTAGGGAGACAAAATGCAGTATATGAAACTGTGTGTATAGAGGATACTTTGCTTTGGGGGGAGGGGGGTTAATCATGGAGACAGTTCCTTTTTCACTGTTCTCCTTTGCTGCTTTTCTTCTTTGTTTCAACTTTCCCCCCAGGGCCCAGGAAAAAGTGGCAGAACAGTCTCAAGTTTCTAAAATATTAAAGATCTTGTCAGAGTAAATGGCGGGAGAGGCCAAATGCAGTAGTCAGGATCAGGGCAGTTCCCGGGACCAAGTGTTCTGACACACCTCTAGTTCATATTGGACTGATAAGTTTTTCCTAAATAGCTTTAAGCTGTATTTTAATTTGTTAATAAAACATTTTTATGAAAGTTCTCATTCATGATGAACAATGAATTCAAGGTTATTATTATTTGTTAATAGATATGAATTTTTTCTACATATGTAGTATGTTTAATAACACATCTTTGAGAGGAAGATGTTAAGTATCAGTGGTAGGAAGAGAATAGTTAGAGGTCAGATAGCAATAGCTTCATGGGAAACATTCTGAAGACTTTTCAGATCTCCCGCTTAAGCTTTTTACTGACCAAAACAGTCACTGTTGAAAGAAAGGGGAAGAGGCAGAGAGGGAGATTTTCTTTTTCGGTTTTTCTTAATTTTAGAACTAAAATAGGGTGCTGTCATTTACTTGTTGCCTTACTTTAAGATTAGAGTTTTATTTTCCAAACTTATGAAAGCTTGACTCTAACAAAAGCAGTTCTTCCTAAGAAGCCACTCACTGTTCAAGTTCACCCTTTAGGCATACGTAAACAGGTGAATGGACATGCAAGGGTTAAGGTAAGAACTTTGTGCCTATGCCTCATTTTGTTCTTTAAAAAAAAAATGGAAATGCCAGAATATATTCAATTTTCTATTTGACTGATCAAGTAGGAACTTGGACCCAGACCCCAAGCTCTTTTAACCAAAGCTCTTCCCCACCAAGTGGTCATTTCTAAGTATAGCTTAGACTAATGAACTAAAATATTTTGAAGCTACTCATTCTTTCATCTGGGTCCTACCATCTTAAAAAATATGTGTGAAATACCCTTATTAAATTTTAATGCATACATATTTTAGACACAACTCTCAGTCTTTCCAACTTAACAGAATAGACTTTCTCTTTGCAAATGGGAAATATTTCCCACAATTTCTTGTTTGTACTGGACAAATTTTCTCAAATTTGAATTTTAAAATATATTTGCAGGGGCAGCTAGGTGGTCCAGTGGATAGAACTCTGGCCTTGGAATCAGGAGGACCTGAATTCAAATCTGGCCAATTGCCTATATATATATATATATTTACAGTGAACAACAAAACAACACTGTGAGGCAATGGAATAAAAAGGAAGGAAACAAGTATTTATTAAGCACCTACTAGGTGTGAGGCATTGTGCTAAGTGCTTTACAGATGTTTTATCATTTGATCAGGAGTATGTAATCAAATGTAAAGAAAGGGCTTAACACAGTGCCTGTCACATGGTAGATGCTTAACAAATGCTAGCTATTTTTATTATTATTATTATTATTATGTTATTCACCTTCATAATCATCCTGGAACATAGGTGCTATTATCCCCATTTTACAGTTGAAGAAACTGAGGCAAACAGAAGTTAAGTGACTTGTCCAAGATTATGCACCTAGTAAGTATTTAGGTTGGATTTGAACTCAGCCTTCCTGACTCCAGGCCCAGGGCTGTATCCACTGTACCCTATTTAAAAAATAAAGCTAAA